TGCATTGGTGTGCTAGATGACCAAGTTCTCCACAATTGTAGCAATCCATCTTGGAGATTGACTTCCTTCTTGAGCTAGTGAAGAACTTCTTCTTGCCATCAAACTTGATGCCACTTTTGTTGAGCTTCTTTAGCATCTTGGCGCTTTTTTTCACCATGAGAGCAAGACTTGCATCATCATCTTCATCATCACTTGAGCTCTCATACACAAGCCTTGCTTTGCCCTTTTCTTGGCTAGCTTTGAATGCTATATCTTTTTCTTTCTTCTTTGTAGAGGATGAGCCATCTTGAGGTGTGATGTGCATGTACATCTCATGAGCATTGATCTTTCCCAAGATTTGTGTTTGTGTAGCGGTGGAAAGATCACCTTGGTGTTGCATGGTCACAATATGCTCATATTTGTCAATGGGGAGGACACTCAATATCTTTCTCACAACATCAGATGGTTGCATTTGAGTAAGTCCAAGCCCATTGACTTCCTCTATAAGAACATTCAAACACAAATACATTTCATTAGCACATTCTTCAGGAAGCATTTCAAAAGAGTTGAGCTTTTTCATGACAAGATGATAGTGTTCCTCATGCTCACTCTTTGTGCTTCTCATTCTCAAGGATCAAATCACCATCATGGTCAAGGGTCTCTAGCACAATAGTGTTGTGGCTTTTGATTTCTTCAAGATCTTTCTTGAGCTTTGCATTGTCATTCTTGAGCTTGACAAACTCATCATAATCATCGGCCTCAACCACTTGCTTGCCCTTGCCACTAGAACCTTGCTCAATGCTCTCAATGATCAAATCATCACATGATGTAGCTATATCAATCTTAACAACATCGTTAGTAGCATCATGTGGCTCATTGGATAAATATTCTTGAGCAATAACAAGATTATCATGATTAATCTTAAGAGTAGTATATTCATCTTTTAGCTTGTTGTGGCTAGTGATGAGCTCTTTGTGCACCCACTCAAGTTTATCATGTTTATCTTTAAGCTCTTTCTTAGAAGATTTGAGCTCCTTGAGTTTGGATGACATAGCTTCATTTGCTTCTCTAAGCTCAACATTAGACTTTTCGGCTATGTCACATTTAGCTAAGAGAGAATCATTCTTAATCTCAAGCTTTTCATTTTTAGCTCTAGTCTTTATAATGATCTTAGTGTATTTCTTTAGCAATTTAGCAAGATCATTATAAGAAGGTGATTCATATTCATCATCATTGCTATCACTATCACTATCATCATTATGAGCCTGATCATCACCACTACTATCATCGTCATGTGATACCTTTCGTTCACCTTTGGCCATAAGGCATAGGTGTGTAGAGGATGATGGTGGTGGTGGCGGTGAAGATGATGAACAGTCAATAACAATGGCGGCCACCTTCTCATTGTCACTATCATCATCGGATGAGCCACTAGATGAATCAATGTTCGTGAGCCAATCACCGATGATGTAAGCCTTTCCACTCTTCTTCTTCTTGTGGAAGTCCTTGCCATCTCTCTTCTTGTATGGCTTGTTCTTTCTCTTCTCATCTTCATCTTCATTGCATGAGTCATCTTTCTTGCCCTTGTTCTTGTTCTTGAACTTGTCTTTCTTGGGCATTGTGCATTGGTGTGCTAGATGACCAAGTTCTCCATAATTGTAGCAATCCATCTTGGAGATTGACTTCCTTCTTGAGCTAGTGAAGAACTTCTTCTTGCCATCAAACTTGATGCCACTTTTGTTGAGCTTCTTTAGCATCTTGGCGCTTTTCTTCACCATGAGAGCAAGACTTGCATCATCATCTTCATCATCACTTGAGCTCTCATACACAAGCCTTGCTTTGCCCTTTTCTTGGCCAGCTTTGAATGCTATATCTTTTTCTTTCTTCTTTGTAGAGGATGAGCCATCTTGAGGTGTGATGTGCATGTACATCTCATGAGCATTGATCTTTCCCAAGATTTGTGTTGGTGTAGCGGTGGAAAGATCACCTTGGTGTAGCATGGTCACAATATGCTCATATTTGTCAATGGGGAGGACACTCAGTATCTTTCTCACAACATCGGATGGTTGCATTTGAGTAAGTCCAAGCCCATTGACTTCCTCTATAAGAACATTCAAACGCGAATACATTTCATTAGCACATTCTTTAGGAAGCATTTCAAAAGAGTTGAGCTTTTTCATGACAAGATGATAGTGTTCCTCATGCTCACTCTTTGTTCCCTCATGGAGCGAACAAGTGTCCGACCATAGTGCATGGGCGTCTTTGTGGTTCCTCACCTGGTTGAACACATCTTTACAAAGGCCTCTAAATATGGTGTTTCTAGCCTTTGCATTCCATTTTTGTAATTCAACTCATCGCCTTGTGGGTGTGCGGCATCCTAAGGTTTTGGGAAACCTTGTGAGGCAGCTCTAAGTATTTCAACATCTAGAGCTTCAAGATACGCCTCCATGTGGATTTTCCAATATGGAAAATCATCCCCCTCAAAGATCGGAGGAGGTCCATCCCTGTGAGACATCTTTCTCTAGGCGATTAAGCCTAAATACGTGAGCACGTGGCTCTAATACCAATTGAAAGGATCAAGATGTCCAAGAGGGGGGGAGTGAATTGGGCTAATTCTAATTTTATTTGCAATAATTAAATCCTACGGTTAGCTCAATTAACCTCTTGTGCCTAGAAAGTGTTTGTAGTTGTTCTACCACACAAAAGACTTGCAACCTAAGTTCCAATCCTACTCTAGCATGGCAATTCTATGAATGTAAAGATAAGAATTAAATTGCTCAATGTAAATGCTCAAAGTAATTACTCAAAGTAATTACTCAAAGTAAATGCTCAAAGTAAATAGAGAAGGAGGAACACGGTAATGTTTTGTCAAGGTATCAGAGAGTCACCACTCCCCACTAGTCCTCGTTGGAGCACGTACGCAAGGGTGTAGCTCCCCCTTGATCCATGCAAGTATCAAGTGCTCTCTACGGGTTGATTCTTCGACACTCCATCGCGGTGAATCACCCACAACTACTCACAACTTGAGTTGGGTCATCCGCAAGCTCTCTGGATGATCACCAAGCTCCCAATCACCACCAAGCCGTCTAGGTGATGGCGATCACCAAGAGTAACAAGCACGAACTCTCACTTGACCGCGACAAGCCTAATGAGAAGGGTGGATGCACACTTTGCTACTCTTGATCTCACTAATGAGGGCTCTCTTTGGGATTCTCAAATCTCAATCACCTCACTAGGACCTTGCCCTTCTTGGCACTCTCTAAGGTGTTTCTCAGCTATTGGAATGAGCAAAAGTACCCCCACACATGAGTGGAGGTGGTATTTATAACATGGGCTGAAAAACAAAATGTTATGTGCCTCTGTGGGGTGACCGGACGCTCCGGTCATGTTGACCGGACGCTCCGGTCAGTACACCCCCGATCTCCAGTGTTTACAGTGTGACCGGACATTGGCCAACGTCCGGTCAGCACTGACCGGACGCGTTCGGTCGCAATTTTCCCTCTCGGGAACCTTACTGGAGTCGACCGGACGCTGGCCCTCAGCATCCGGTCACTTCACCTCTCAGTGTCCGGTCGCACCGAACGTTTTCACCTTGGTCAAATGAACTGACCGGACTCTGTGCCAGCGTCCGATCAAACCGTAACCAGCGTCTGGTCAGTATTTGACCCTCCATTCACTTCCAACTCTCGATCATATGTGAATGAAGTTTGTTCCAAAGGATCTTAGGCATATGTAGGAGCTATCTAGTGCTAGTTTTAACAAGTGTGCACCACACCTAACTCACTAGACTCACCTAGGTCAAGCTACCCATCCATACCCCCCTTAATAGTATGGCCAAAGGAAAAACAAAGTCCTAAACTACTCTAAATGTCTCTTCAACTCCAAATGACACTTAGAACTAGTCCATCCTTAACCTTGTCGTCCATCCTTTGAAAACCGAAATGATTTCCATCGTAGGGGTATGACCACCATAATTGCCCAATCGATCTCCATTACCGTGACCTAACTTAATTACCTCTGCAAAACACACGTTAGTCACAGTAATCACCTATTGTCATTAATCACCGAAACCCAACTAGGGGGCTTAGATGCTTTCAATCACTAAACTCAAGATTATAACCTGTCAGAGAAAAAAAGTCGAGCCTGCCATTGTGCTCTCGGTCTAGTAATAGAGTGCAGATGTTAAACCTCTGATACATCGCACATAGGACATATGGGGTTAATTTTGGCACTGCAGGTTGCTTATGTAGTTGTTTGTTATGGTATTTTGGGATCTACCGAATAGTGGGATATCGATTAATTTCTGCACTACATTGTGATTAGGCTTGCTCTGAATCCGACACTTGGTGTGTTATGAAAACCTTTTATGTTCTATTGCTTCATGCTATTCATCTTGAGGACTTACATATGAAGCAAATTTAAATACCCTTTTGTTGTGATTCTAAAAATATTACTATTTTAAGTTTAGTGTGTTGATATGTGTCCTATTATGCTGGTAGTTCAACAAAATGGAAGGAAATCATTGTTTTCCTTAGTGTATAGAAAGATCTTGTTACATTTCTATCAGTTTATCACAATGCTCTCTGCATTCTTTGTTCTGATCAACATGTATTGAATTCCTTGTGTTTGACAGGAAAAATGATGTTGCAAAAAGGCCATCTAAGAAGCCCTGCCATGACTCGAGTAAGAGCTGTACATCCTCTGTCGTATCCAGCCCCAATGTTTGGGCAGATCTCCTGGACTGTCTGCTTCACCAAATTATTGCTCTCCTTAGCTCATCCAATGACATCATTGCTTTTGCTGCAACCTGCCGCTCTTGGCACGCTGCATTCACATCCATCCCATCTACATTGAGCAGCAATGTCCCACCTCTCTGCCTACAATCTCACATCCATTATCCTCATCGCGGCCACAGCCGCATCAAGTATAGTCTTCTATACATTTGTGAGTGATAGCTCACCAATCCTATAAAGTGATCCTCCTCCTGTCGCTTGTCGCCACCCCACAACCATCCAAACCACATGCACTATTTGGGTTGCTCATATGGTAATCTTATATTCTCCAACTCGAATCAGTGCCTCCTTGTAGATGTTTTTGGTTTTACTACCGTGAAGCCTCCCAAATTGAAATCGACAGGCAAGCATGAGATCTACTATGGAATCCTTCATGGTTCCTTCAAGTCACCCAACTCGCATCTCTTCCTTTGCTCAGGGTCATCCATTTTCCAGTGGCAAGTTGGGTCTAACTCTTGGTTGGACCATCCTCTAGATATCCCAAGCATCTTCCGAATCGTGTTTTTTAAAGGTGAGATGTTTGCCAGGGATCACTTGGATGGGCTCCACACCATTCGCTTGGCACCTCAACTAAGCATACATGAAGTAGATATTGACTGGACAGAGTACCGGAGAGAAGATAGTGTTGTGGGCCGTGCTGTGATGTATTGGCTGGTGGTATGTAGTGACATGTTTCTCATGATTGACCTCTCAATGAGCACTGATAGGCCTACTGTCTTCTTTAGAGTTTTTAGGCTTGATTTCTCCATCATACCACCTAAGTGGGTGAAGGTGGAGAATTTGGGAAACCATGCCATCTTTGTAAGCTTTGATCAAAGGAACCCGGCATTTTGCTGCACCGACCCTGAAAGATGGAGAGGAAAGAGTAATTGTATCTATGTTGCCACCCAGTCTAAGAAGAATGATAAACCTTGGACTATGGTCGAGCTTGGTCAGGCAGTGTCTAGTAGAAATTGGAGGCCCGTTGTGTATCCTGATGCTTATCCCTATGGCAATCCCGGTCGACCAGATAACCTTTGGGTGTTTCCTAGTTTGGTTTATGATGTTGGGCTGTGAGCATCTTTGGTTTTCTTGGAGTTTTAGCTAAGTCATTTTGATGTAATATTTTCTTGACTTGGCATGCCTTGTTCTCGTGTTCAAACAAGTTAAATGTACTATAATCCAGTGCTAATTGTAAGCCTAGCTATAGTCCTAGTTTTTTCTGCGTTGAACATTTGAGCACTGATGTTGCTCGCCTTGCAGGTCTTTCTAGATATATACTCCATCCGGTCAAGTTTATAAGGCATCTTTCTGACATGTCATGTCGCCTAAATTACTCTGATTATTTATTGAAACTTTTGATTATTTGATATCAGATTTAATTACAAATCTAACAATATCAAGTTTATATTACAATAGTTAAAAGTTGTTAGCCAAATTATTAGTCACAATTATAAAGTTTGACGTTTGACCTACCTGAAATGTCTTGTAAGCTGAAATTAAACTGAACCTGTCAGTGTCAGTCCACACCAAGTTCAGCTTAAAATAGCTTGCCGGACGACTACGATATTATATATGCTGTTGATGCAGACCAAGTTCAGCTTTGTGATGCTGCCTGAAATTAAACTGAACTTGTGAGTGCACACCAAGTTCAGCTTAAAATAGTTGTCTGCCGGACGACAACGATATTATATATGTTGTTGACCCCCCCCCCAACACACACACACACACCACCGCAGTCAATGTAGGAAAATAATACATCATGGGATGGGACTGCTATCTTATTCAGAAATTATGCAGTACATTTCAAAAGGAAAACAATAGGACCAAGAAATGGAGAGCTAGCCCGGAGCTCTGTGTGCTAACTAAACTACCTTCAGAAGAAACTAAGGGTATGCAATACATTCTTGCATCAGAAGAAAATATGGAGATTAGCTTCAGAAAGGGTATGCAATACATTTTCCCGTGAGTCGCAAGAACGACCAATCATCAGCCTGTTCGGTAGGCATGAATTAGCTGGCTGGAGCTGGTGCTGAACCAGTCAGCCAAGCAGCAGCATCCAGCATCCAGCCAGCCCCCAGCCATTTCAAATCGGCTGAATAGCCATTTCAAATTCAAACACAAAAAAGGCGCCAACAACAATGGCCATTCATACACAGTCCACTTCTAGTTCATACCTAACAGTTCATCAACCTTCACTGGTCCTTACATACAACCAACAAATGATAGTCCATTTGTCCAATCCATACAACAAAAGAATACAACATACACTAGGGTTAACCAATTAGGCATGTATGCAACATATACAAAAATTCTGGACTTCATGAAGCCACTAACCAAACTGCATACATACGTGCCATCTGCAGCTGCACATACACTGCCCGCCTTCGTCCTACTCCTGCAATCAGTACCAATTGTCGCACATAATGCATTCAGTAAATACCTAACTTAAATTGAAGTACTCAAGTAGCTTCATTACATCACCTTTCCTCAATCATATTCTAGTCCAGACAACAGTTGATATCAGCTCCCTTACTATAGCTATTTGTGTTCCACGATTTAGATCCACCCACTCCGACAGCTCATACGACAGTGCATTAGGTACATACTTACACAGCCACAAATAATTATCCATTGCAAAGCATGATATGATAATCATTGCAAAGCACGACCAGTCAATTAATGTAATTTTTGGGACCCACCATCTCCTACGGCTAAAGTTTACTAAACATGCTCAAATCAGAAATTGACATCAAATTGAATGCAGATGGCGCTTCAACTAGAATGCTCACAGTACGCCACACATCCAAGTGAACATAGTTCTCGACAACGGTCTTTATTACAACGAATGAAAAGAACATAATGCTGACAAGGTATATAAACAACTCAACATGCTCATGCTGGAAAACTAAAACAACTATAGAAGCCGCAGGAGGAAGTATGCTGCTGATCACTTGGACTTGGAGAAAACGAAGTCCCATGAGACATTCACCCAGTTCAGCCAGCCCTCTTTTGTTTCCAAATCAAGAAAAGCCCGACGACGGAGCCTGTTGTTGCAAAGATTAAGGGCTTGGGCAAAGACTACATCACTCTCGCTGTAACCATCTTGCTTCAGAATCAGATTGACTTGGGCCATCTCCTCGTCATCAGTGGCTTGATGGGCCTTGTGTGCCCTAGTATCCCTGATAATGTCTCTCATGTCATCAAGGCAGTCATCAAGGGTTGGAGTCATGCTGGCTGGGGCTGCTGCTGTGGCTGCTGCTGTGATTCCCCCTGAGGTTGAGGCTCCTCAATAGCAAGACGTCATCCTCCCATCATGAGAGTCCCAGGTGGACCACCATCAAGACGCTCAAGTCTAGCCCTCGCTTCTGTTGAAAGCTGATCTGCGATGACAACACCACTACGAGCACCTCCTCTCTCGGCACGCTCTGTGGCCTCTGCAACTGCGGCTACTCTAGCTGTCTCTCCATCTGGGTACTTGCGCTTCTTTGATGTAATCTTCTTCATCGCCTTGCCTTTAGGAACTACTACCTCTGACAAAGAACACCTACCAACTATCACTTTCGAGGCTTGGCCTCGATCCATACTCGCAAGCATGGCCCCGAGTTGCCTGACAACTGCCAAACGGACCACAACGACACCGACTCGCTGCACGATGGAATAGATAGGATATACCAATAATTTTAATTAAACATCTAGAGATACGAAATCCTATGTAAGCAAGCAATTAGGTACGAAATTGAAATGTGGGCTTGCTACCTGACGAACTGGCGATTCGAGGAGAAGAGAAACGATGCGTGGGGAACCACCGAATCATGAGGCTAGGGTTAGGTTACCGCAATGCGCTGGATCGGCAATGCTGCTGCTGTGAATCTTGGTAGTGTGCTGGGGTAGTGGATGTGCTCGACGGCATGGAAGCACGGCGGCGCTGGAGTGTGGCGGCTCGGGCGGCTTTGGTGCGGTAGTGCGGCGTGGACGGCGTGGGTAGAGGCACGGGCTCGCGGCGGCGCTGCCGCAGCTAGGGCACAAGCACGCGGCGGCGCTGGCAGTGGAGGCATGGGAGCTGCACGAGCGTGGGCACGGCAGCTAGGGCAGACGGCGGCTCGGGAAGAGAGGCATGGTGGTGAAGGCGAGTACGGCGGTGCTAGGGTTGGCAGGCATGGCGGAATAGATCAAAGGTGCGTAGCTACTTTCGGTTATAAGAGGATTCCCCATGGGATGAAAAAGGAAACAGAGTGAGAGTCCTGAAAACGCACGTTCCCCATTGACCGGATGCGTCCGATGGACACCGACCGAACGTAGCCAGAGTCCGGTCACCTTGCCTTGACGCCTTCATGATCAACCGGATGCAGAACCTCCTTCTGACCGGACACTGGGAAAACATGGTTCCAGCATCCAGTCACTCCTGCTCAGCAGCTGTTCACCTCCTGTGAACTAACCGGACGCTGCACTTCAGAGTCCAGTGCAGCGTCCGGTCACTCCTTTTCCAGCAAATCTTCAAAGTTCTTCGTGATGCCTGTTCCCAATCAAGTCCCAACTCAAATAAGATCCAAATAAACACCAATTGGGACTAATGTGAGTGACCTCTCTCAAACCCTCATGTTTTTCAAAAATATTTTGCCTTAGGCTATAATTCTTTTTAAGAAAATAGGCAATAAGAGGGCAATTTAAGATAAACGACAAAACAACATTCATGCATATGCAATACTTGAAAGTAAATCTAGTTGCTTGTCAAGTTTGATCCAAGGTTAAGCTTCTTCACACGCTTTTCGGCGGTTATCTTAACCATGTTAGACAAGCCCTATGTGCACTGCCACAAAGTAAACATGTAGTATATTACAATGCAATGCAAGGGACAACACAAGCTCATCTTTTAGTGAAGTTACTAAAATCAAGAACATTGAGCTCATTCCGCAATCGACAAAATGATGCCTCATCTAGCGGTTTAGTAAAGATATCCGCTAATTGATCCTCGGTCCTTACACCTTCTAAAGATATATCATTCTTTGCAACATGATCTCTAAGATAGTGATGGCGGATATCTATGTGCTTGGTGCAAGAGTGTTGAACCGGATTATTTGCAAGTTTTACCGCACTTTCATTGTCACACAAAAGAGGTACTTTTTCTAGAACTACACCATAGTCTAGCAAAGTTTGTTTCATATAAAGTATTTGTGCACAACAAGCACCCACGGCAATATATTCCACTTCGGCGGTGGACAAAGCCACACTATTTTGTTTCTTGGAGGACCAAGACACAAGTGATCTACCAAGCAAATGGCACCCTCCGGATGTGCTTTTTCTATCAACTTTGCATCCAGCATAATCCAAATCGGAATAGCCAATTAATTCAAATCTAGCTCCTTTGGGATACCAAATGCCAATGCTTGGTGTGTGCTTAAGATACCTAAGGATTTTTTTAACAGCAATTAAATGTGTTTCCTTAGGATTAGCTTGAAATCTAGCACACATACATACACTAAACATGATGTCAGGCCTAGATGCAGTTAAATATAACAAGCTACCAATCATAGAATGGTAGAGAGTTTGATCAACCTTGTTACCTCCCTCATCTAGGTCGAGGTGTCCATTAGTAGGCATTGGTGTCTTGATTGGCTTACATCCATCCATCTTGAATCTCTTAAGAAGATCATTTGTATATTTCTCTTGAGAGATGAAAATCCCTTCTCTCATTTGCTTGACTTGAAAACCAAGAAAGAATGTAAGCTCACCAATCATGGACATCTTGAACTCCTTCGACATCAATTCACCAAATTCTTTGCAAGAGTCTTCATTTGATGATCCAAAGTTGATATCATCAACATACACTTGACAAATAAAGATATGCCCATCAAGCTTCTTGGTAAATAGTGTGGTGTCGACCTTCCCAATGGTGAAGCCATTCTCAATGAGGAAGTCCCGAAGGCGCTCATACTAAGCTTTTGGGGCTTGTTTAAGCCCATATAACGCCTTGGACAACCTATAAACATGATTAGGATATCTAGGGTCTTCAAACCCAGGAGGTTGATCAACATAGACTAGTTCATTAATAAAGCCATTTAAAAATGCACTTTTCA